CTCCGGAGTTGAAGGGTTTGCTTTTTTGTTGTTTCTTTTGCACAGCTTTCAAGCATCAAAGGTCCTGCGCCCACTCTATAGGACTCCTTTGGAGCGCTGCAAAAGCAAGAGAGAGAGTGGAGGATCCAGAGTCTGCAAAGGGTGCAGGCTGGGTTTGGCCTTTTGGAAGGTAACATGGAAAAGGAACAGTGCTGTGGGGCACTCCACATCTGGAATTGCTAAAGGAGTTTCCACTGCAGCTTGCTTAGGCTGGAAAGGCAAAGAGGAGGTTAGCTGATTAGAGCAAAACAGACTGATTAGGACTTACCTTATTTTGTAGAAGGGCAGCACAGAAGAGTGCCTAGACGTTGCGAGTGACGGGTGTTCTCCCCCCACCCTTCTGGAGTACCGCGCTTTGCCGAGTCCACGGCCAAACTTCCTTCAGCGGAGTCTTTACCAAAAAAAAAGTTTTGGGGAGGGAGAGAACAGCCCCCGCTGTCCTGCACGCCCGCTGTCCGGCTGGTGCCTCTCTAGCGCATTTTATTGCACCCCAGAGCATTCGACAGCATCCAAGACGCGCTGCTCAGTCTCCAGTAACTCTGGAGCTGGCTTTAGAGCAACAAAAGAAGCCAAGATTGATTTTTAAATCCTACTTGGTTTAAACTTTTGGATCCAATTTTTTGGGCGGAATCGTTCTTTTTCGGACGAGACCGGGGAGTGGGGTGGGGGGGAAAGCGAAATAGCTTCAGTTGGTAGACACAACAAACATCTCTCAGCCCAAGGGCGAGTGACAAGCAGAACTTCACTTGGCGAGTATGGGCGGGAGAGCGTGAGGGGGGCCGCAGTCCCGGGCTCCTTCCAATCAAAACAAAAGCCGAAAAAGAAAAAGAAAGAAAAAAGACCCCAGGCGTGCGGGTTTTCGCTTTTACTTCAGGACTGAACGCTGACGGCTCCTTTCTCTCGGTCTCTGGCTCCCCTTTTCATTGTGGTGATGTGTGAACGCGCTGCTTTCGATTCTAGCTCACCCCCCCCCCCGCAGCCGCCAAGCCTCCCTCCTCTCCCTCCTCTCTGTTCTCCCCTTTCTCAGGATATGAGGGGATGTTTAGAAAATCCGCTGCCCACGCCAGCCGCTGACTCATGTTTTTATTAAAGAAGGGAGGCCTGTGCCTTAAACTGGCTCTACATATTAAAAAAATCACTGCGCGCGCCACCCCCCTCCCCCCCAAGCCCATTTTCTTGGCTCCTTGTCGGCACCAGGGGGTGGGGTGGGGGATTAACTGGGCCGTCGCGATGAGACTCGCTCGCCGCCTTATCGCAGAGATAACGTTTTTGCTGAAGGGCTTCTTTGTTTGCTGGGCGGAGTCGCTGTTTACGGGTTTCGTTGAAAGGGGCATGGGTTGTGCGAGCGATACAGCTGGAGAATGGTTCGCACGCAGGCCCGTACGGTGGCTTAGCATCGTCTGCCTCCCATTGATAGACGGCCAAGAAGAGACTGCAGGGCTCATCCATCCAGCCGTGGCCTCTAGGCATGCTAACATACGGTGTGATTACAGTGGTCCTGGAGGAGCAGGAAAGGGAAGCAAAACAGGCTTTTGTTTCATCCAGATTTCCAAATCACCAGATGTTGCTCTTTTACCTGAAGAGGGTGTGAGATTTCTAATATGCAAGATCTACTATTTTATTAAAGTTTAAAAAATTCCACTTTTTCTCCAATGAATTTAGTATGATGTATGTGGCTCTCTGAACACCCCAATTTTATTTGAGCATCACAACAACCCTGAAGTTGTTAGGTTAGGCTGAGATCTGCTAAAATGGGCAAGCTCACCCAATGAACTCCACAGCAGACAGAGTGGTGATGTGCAGCCATGGCTCCCAGGTCTGACTCCCAACACTCTACCTACTGCCTCTCACTTTGGCTCTTTTTCTTTTAACAATAGAAATGTGAATGGTGATTCACTCAAGTAGATATCATCCAGGTACATCCGTCATGGGGCCAAGATTTGATAGAAGAGCCTGGTTTGCATTGCATAATGAGTGAAACATTACTAACAGAAAGGTAAATTGGGCCAATAAATCATGTCACCTTCATTACCAGGTATGGTATTTTCAAGTATCACATTTCTATAATGGTGGATGGTAGGAGTGATCAGTGTCTTCTGTAAATACGATGCTTTTGTTAGATTATTGATTTGGTGACTGCAAGTCACAAACATGTCATCTTGATATGTGGCATCCTTGTAGATTTCATATCAGCAAACCAGACATATACAGTCAATTCTTAAGTCTTGTGAGAAATATGAAATGTTTTTAAAGCTTCTTGGAACTTTCTATCACTCTAGCCATTGTTCAGTGCCATCAACTGAGCTGCTTGATTTCCAGAACTAGAAATTTCTAAAATGTTTTCCAAAAAAAAGAGAAAAGAAGCAGCAGCAAAAAATCCATAGGTGTGCATGTGTGATATGGGGCCAAATACTTCTGTTTGGGGGATATATACCATCTTCCCAACACTCAAATGACAGTATATCTTTTCCTGTTTGCTTGTGTATGTTTGGCAAGCATCACGGTCCTCTGATTGTTAATATCCATGACTTTACTGATGATGAGGAACTCAATCCATCCGTGCGCCTCAACGACGTTCCAGTACTTGTATCATTTTGTTTCTTTCAAAAATAGTTATTTGGATGTGTTTCACCTCTTCAGTGATATGCTGTAGTCTATATTTCCCTTGATTAAAAAAATTCTGGCAGACAGGCAACCCTATCATGTTACTGTTGTTATCTGCATTTATATGCCACTTTTCACCTCAAAAGGGGCAAAGTGATTTATACCATTCTCCTCTCTTCCATTGTATCCCCTCAACAATCCTCTGAGTTAGGTTAGACCGAGAGTCACGCAGCAAACTTCAATGGCAGTGTGGAGATTCGAACCTGGGTGTCCCAGATCTTTGCCTGGCACTCTAGCCTAATACCACACTGGGTCTCCTTGACATATATCGTACTATAGCAACAAGTGCCACAGTGTCTTTTTTGCTCCTGGAAAGGCACTTAGGTATACTCACTGATACGGAGCTACGGTGACTCAAGTGGTTAAGACGCTGAACTGCAGGCTGTGGAAGGTCAGTAGTTCAGCAGTTCGAGACCAGGGTGCCTCATGATGGAGTGAGCTCCCATCTCTAGTTCCAGCTCCTGCCAACCTAGCAGTTCGAAAGCAAGAAATTCCAAGTAGATAAATAGGTACCACTTCGGTGGGAAGGTAACAGCGTTCCGTGTGCCTTGGTGTTTAGTCATGCCGGCCACATGACCACGGAAACGTCTTCGGACAGCGCTGGCTCTTCAGCTTTGAAACGGAGATGAGCACCGCAACCCTAGAGTCGGATTCGACTGGCTTTCGAGCAAGGGAACCTTTACCTTTATACTCACTGATACTTACTCAGATGTCTTAATTGGGACACATGAATTTCAGATACTAATAAGGCTCTTGCTTTGAGAAAAAGCCAGAAATCACTTGACTATACAAATGTCAAGAACACCCAGACCCTGTAGAAAACCATAAGGCCCTAATAGCATTATATGCTTATCCTGTAGGTTGTTTTTAGTTTAATGCTTCATATTGTTCCTTCTTTGGCTGTTCAAAGATCAATTCCCAATTACATATTTCCTGGCACCTCCATACAATGAATTATTCTTGTAAGTCTTGTTTGGTTTGACTTTATAGCTATGACTGGATTTTAAAAAAAGTGTTATTTGGTCTATGTTAATTTCTGGAGCAGATGTTGAGCTGAGCCGAGCTGAGCTGGTGTCTTTTTTTATGGTATGAGCAATAGCACAAATGTGACTGTTCTGAAAACTGTTTTTATTCCTCAGAGAATCGTTTAGGGACAGCTTGTTTTCAGCGGAGAGAGCAAGATGACAAACCCCTGAATACCTTGGGGGACAGGATGTTTTCTGGAAGGAAACAAAGATCAGTAAAGGAGCCCTAGGGAGACTCTGTGAAGGATCCTATTTTTCTTGGTTTTAGTTTTTATAAATATAATTTTGAGATGGTTGGTAACTGGCCAACTATCTGCCATTTTCCAATTTGCCCTATTTGGGCAAATTAATTGAGAGGGTGGTGGTGATACAGTTGCAGGGCTTTATGGATGACACGTCCCTATTAGATCCCTTCCCGTCTGGCTTTTGCCTGGGACACGGGACGGAGACGGCATTGGTCGCTCTTACTGACAACCTCCGGAGGCATCTGGATCTGGGCAGCTCGGCGGCACTGCTGTTGTTGGACCTGTTGGCTGCATTCAACACGGTCGATCATCAGTTGCTGACCACCTCACTGACATGAGGATCCAGGGGCTTGCCTTGCAATGGCTTGCTTCTGTTCTCCAGGGTTGGGTCAAAGGATGGTGCTAGGGAAACAGCAGTCCAGGAGACACCCACTTGACTGCAGAGTGCCTCAAGGGGCTGTGCTTTCCCCAATGTTATTTAACATCTACATGTGTCCTCTTGCCCAGATTGTCCGGAGGTATGGACAATCTCTATCTGATGCTGGGCGGCCAATCAGACTCCAGAGTAGAAGATCTGGACCGGGCATTGCAAGCCATGGCTGGTTGGCTTAGACTGAGCCGGCTGAAGCTGAACCCAGCAAAGATGGAGGTCCTGTGCCTGAGTCAGGGTGGTTTGGGGTTGGGGATGCCACTCCTGACCTTTGGTGGGGCACCATTAGTGCCAGCGCCGGTGGTTAGGAGTTTGGGAGTGCTGCTGGATACCTCCTTAACAATGGAGGCCCAGGTAGTAGCCACTGCTACGTCGGCCTTTTACCAACTTCGGCTGATTCGGCAATTGGTTCCCTTCCTCGACCATGATAACCTGGCTACAGTGATCCATGCGAAGGTTACCTCGAGATTAGACTATTGTAACGCTCTCTACATGGGGTTGCCCTTGTCGCAAATCTGGAAGCTGCAGCTAGTGCAGAATGTCGCGGCTAGGCTTTTGATGGGTCTTCCTAGATGGGAGAACATCCGGCCTACGCTGAAGGCACTGCACTGGCTGCCAATAGCATACCGAGTTCGCTTCAAGGTGCTGGTACTTACCTTTAAAGCCCTTTATGACCAGGGTCCGACATACCTGAGGGACCGCCTTTCCCATATATACCCCAGAGAGCACTATGGTCGGGGTCACGACATCGATTGACCATCCCAGGCCCTAAGGATGCCAGGCTTGCTGCTACCAGGGCCAGGGCCTTTTCAGTGGAATGAGCTCCCAGAAGAAATCAGGGCTCTGCGGGATCTTTTACAGTTCCGCAGGGCATGCAAGATGGAGTTCTTCCACCAGGCTTTCAACTAGGAGCTGCCTCACCACTACCACCAATGTCTGTGGTGGCAGGCTGGCCCTAGTTTGGAGATTGAGTTATACCATCGTGTGTTGCCATAAGATCAT